ACATGATGAAGAGATTCGTGGGTCGATCTCACCAGAATATGACGGCTGATTTCTGTTACACTACAGCTACTTGCCTTTAATACGAAGTTCAGGTTGATGCAGCCCACGAAACATCCTCTATCGTTTAAGCCGAAGATTGGCTGATCTTTTGTAAATCATAACTGGAACTTATTCTTACTAAATCATCAAAATCCCGCTGGGGGTGTTGATAGGACCTAGGATAGATCAAAACTGCAGTCGACCCTCGATAAAACCCCTTTTGGGAAAGCAATACAATGTGAAATTTAATGTAAACGTGAGCTCTATTCATTACCCTAAGCGAAATAATAATATAATAATCATAATAGAAAACCTGAAATGCATCCACATATATTACTTAGCGCTTAACAGATAAATAAATAAATTCAACGTCAGCAAGTATATTACTTTTTATCTTAGCGTTTATTATGTGGACACATGATTAGATAGGCAGGTTTAGGTTGCATTTGCTACTTCCTGGTCTAATTTCAAGCCCAAAATTAAAAATAGTAAGTGTAATAGTTTTAGTCTCCCAAAATACTCGCCCAAAAAAGACTAATCAGCTTTAAAGTAATCAAGTTTATGGGCTCAATAGTAACCAATGGGCGGAAGATGCTTAAAGCCATTAACCATGATAAAACCTATAATATTGTTTAACTTGATGTACTTAGTTTTAATAGGCAAAATTTTGAATGAATAAGGTTGAGCTCACCTGAAGTAAGATTTTCCTCAAATTTGGCTGTACACAGGCAGGATTGATCTCAGCTAGTCGGCCAAGGCATTGCATCACACGCAGGCGGATCTCAAAGACTTCATCAGCGAGGCCAGTAAACAAAGAGGTTAGGTGATTGGCTTGGGCCAAATGGTGATCAAACCGCCGGTCGAGTGATTCGAACACGCAGAGACGGACATCAGCGTCTGGAATCGCATTCATGCATATGCATATAAAATTAATTACCGACGAAATAAATTCAATTAAAATAAAATCCGATAAAATCAGACTCAGCTTACAATAATTTACCTGGATCGCTGATGCCAACATTCAACAATTTACTCAATATATCAGCAACTGTGTTGAAGGCTGATCGAGCAGTGTAATGAGGTACCTCAGAAGACTAAAAAGAAAGAAAAAGATATAACGATTGCAACAAGGATCTGAGAACTCCAGATGGAGCGAGTGGGGAGTGAGTGAGAATTTAACTAAGATCAAGCAGAAAGCAGAGAAACACGCATGAACCAGATTCCATGGGAGAAATATCAATAATTTCTGGAGGGGCATCGTACTCGGTGCAGTATAAGATATTATTTAATTCAATGTGCTCAGTCATTTAATGAAGAAGTCAGAGTTAATCTATATTCTTAATGAATAGTGGCATGTGAATGAAGCAGAACGAATATAAACAGGGATCTAGCTTAAAAAAAGAAGGATGATAGGGCAAAGTAGCACGTCATTCAAACATGAATTAGGCACTTAACAAGATAAATATAAAGAGTATATACAAATTTCAACGAACTACTTCAGAATTAAATAAGCAAGATATCCTTACTATTTATATAATGGCATCAAAATGTCGTAAAATTACCAATTAGCGCAAAATAGGGCATTAGTAAAATATATAGAAAAGAGATTATTTAAAATTGAGAATGAAGATGTATTCAGATAAAGTAATTATGGTAAAATAGAAGTAATACCTTCAGCCAAGGCAGCATAAGGCGGGCACAAGTACGCACTGCTTCCAGACGAATTTCCTTAACTTCGCAGGTATTTACCGAGATGAAATGATCCGCAGCGTGTCGTACGAAATGAGCCAAAGTGTGCCCTGAAAAGATCAGAACGAACTAGTATAAGACGAAATAAATAAAAGGCTCGGTCGCCATAGATTGCACAAGGTGATTTAAGGAGTGATAGTTGAGATTTCCCACAATTAGATAACTATGCCTTATGATGCTGTTAAAATCGATGACTCCAGCTTGATGACGAGCTATATTCCAAGACCTGAGTCGCGAGCTAATTCAAGATAAAAGACTGGAGGATGTGGTGTTGAATTTATATAAGGACCATAAATTGTACAACGCTAATTGCACAGCTAATTAAAGCGACGACACTCATGAACGTT